CCCTTCCACACTCAGCTTGAGTCAAACAGCTGCTTTCCCACCCTGAGTTTCCTAAGGCCTTGGCCAGGCATTTGCTCCAGGCTCCAATTGCACTCGGCTGTTCCACGTCACCCCCAGCTTGGGACTGGCTCACATCAGAAAAGCAGCTTAGAGAGGACACCGCCCAGCTGCACAATCAAACATTAGGCGCCCAGATGAGAAAACACAGCTTGAAATTGCATCCAGAGCTTGACCAGTTTCTCGGTCATAAATCATATTCTGTTGGTTGGGACAGCAGGTCAGTAGGACCCCCCAGGCACCTCACCAGAGTGGCTCTGAGCATACAGGAGAAAAGAGGTGACTGCAAGTCACCAGCCCAACCCAGTAGACTCAAACCTCCAGCCGTAGGGAGTCTAGGCCCAGGGCCCTATTGTCTGTACCCCTGCCTCTTTCTGAAGCCCAGGCCTCCAGCAGCCTCCTCCTTGATAGGTGCAGACCAGATTTCCAGAGAGTTTTACTCGATGCCTCTTTAAAGTGTCTAATTTTAATGAAGAACTTTCATCTGCCACCCTGTTTCCAGGTTTGGAAGGAATTTTCACAAGTCACAGAGGCCCTTGGAAATGTGTTTCCTGGTGGGAAACACAAAGCTGTGAGACATGAGATGTTCTCACTCTGGGTGCGAGTGGAAGGTCCAAGGGGAGGAAATACCCCTCGCACCCCCACAAAAGTGTTTCAAGAGCCAAGTGGAAGGATGCAGAGGCACAGCATAGGGCTTCACTGTGAGTATAGACATGGCAATTCTACCAGAGAACAGAGTCCTTCCTGGGGGAAATGCTAGGGCATCGAGTGAGGAGATGTGGGGGATGGAGGATGCCATAGAAGGAGGAAAATGGTACCCACAACTGAAATGAGAGCAGAAGACCCCAAATATATACACAACACACACAACAAACCCATCCCCTCTGGAGAATTTTTGAGCCAGAAAGAAAAAAATAAATAAAACCAACAACTCTTGAACTGGAAAGTTCACAGCTAAACTGGGGCTGAATGAACACTGCTATTTTAATCGGGTTCTGGGCAATACAGGCAGACAATGTGCATTCAGTCCCTTCAGAGGTGAGGCTGGGATTGACACCACCTGAGCACTGGCTCTGGACTCCCCAGACAGCTTTCTCCCAAGCTCTTCTCACCAAAGGAACTCCCCCCCCCCCAGCCCCGTGCTCATCTGCAGGGAGCCATAGATAACGTTTCCTGTGGAGTGTATGGCACACCCTCCACTGGGAGTGATGGAGCCACCTTAGTGCTCCACATCCCTCTCTGAGGCTCGCTGGACCCCTTAGCATTCTGGGAAAGGGACTGGGTGGATATGTAGAAACACAGGCAAAGGAAGTTTGGGGATAAGAGGTCATGGAGTTTCAACATCAGATGAGCCAAAAGATGCAGTGGGGAGAGGAGAGATGGTGAGGGCATAAGTCATGAACACCTCCAAGCCGGTGTCATAAAATGGCTCCAAAGAGGCATGAGTTAATGGCCTCGTGAGTTAATGAGTTAATGGGAAGAGTGGCTCTCCAGGGTCACTGAAATGCCTCCTCTCAAGACCATGAGCCAGCCGTAGAGTTTGAATTGACCAGGATTAAGATTTATTTATTTGCTTACTTATTATTTTTTATAAGCCAGAGGGTTAATTCTTAGACATGGCAGTGTCATCTGCAACCAGTGGTAGAAAAAGACACCATTTCCTGCTCTCTCTGACACACAGTCCACACCAGCGCCAAATGACAGAGTGGGAACGGAACTAATGAGATTGAAACACTAGGATCAACCTGGCTTGTAAATGACAGTTTCAATGTGTTTCTGTTTACCCTTTCTCTGCTAATGAGATACTATTTGTAGATGCAAATTTTTAAGAATGTTATCTTCAGCCTGGAGAGAAAGAAACTGTAATTTGCAGTTTTTGCTGGGAGTGATAACCTTAGTAAGTAATGGGATTCAGTGACTAGCTGCTGCTAACAAAACATTGTTGCCAAGCCTGTTAGTCCAAAACCAGCAATACTGCCATCTGATCCATAATCCATCCCTTCAATCCCCGGAGATCTCAAAGAAATATTCCTCATTTAAATAGCTTCCATCTTTCAACGTATTTCATTGCTTCCACTAATAGTTTAGCAATAAGTTAGGAGCAGCTCCAAGACAGATATCAAGTCAACCTCAGCGAAGAGTTCGAGAAGAAAAGCAATTCTACTTTAAAAATGATTTTTAAGTGAAAGGTGTAATGGGGAAATTCATGAGTTCATTGAGCACTAAAATGAATGGAAGTTCTCAGCAATCAGCAGGCTTGATCTGTCTGACTCTGTGTAGGGGATGGCATTCTCAATTCCCAGAATTCCCAGTAGCCAAAGCCCTCTCATGGTGACTCACACAGCAACCCTCCTGTTTTTACTATTTTCCCAGTTAGACTTCCATTTGAGAGAGCCTCCCAGGTCGTCAGCTTACCTCAGCCACTTCATGAGCTCTGGAGCTCTCCTCCCCTCTCCTCACATAGGTCTAGTGGACCCTCCTGCTCTGGACTTGGTGGGGGAAGGTCTAGTTACAATATACTGTTTCACTGCTAAGTCATGACCTGTGGGCTAGTGGGACAGCCCAAATGTGTGAACATGTATGTGGGCCTTGTCTGGTACAACTCTATGGGATCTGGGAAAATCACATGACTTCATTATTTTCAATATGTTGAGATGAGGCACCCTGGAACAGTTATTAAGGGTCTTTCCTTTTATTCCCCTCCCCAACTCACAAGGTTAGGGGCAATATCTCTTTTAAGAACATTAATAGAAAAACAGATTGCTCAAATAGTGAGATTTATTTACATGTACCGAAGCACTTTAAATATTTGAATTGGTTGACGCTGATGAAGATGTTTCCAATAAAAAATAAATTTTGTTTAAAATAACACTAGTCATGATGAAGTGACTGGTCTAAGTCCTTCAGCTGGCCACTAAAAACCAGGACTAAATCCAGGATTGTGGTTTTTGGTTCAATGGTTCCATCCATCTTATATCTTTAAGAAGCAGGGCCAAGGACTTGGTGCAGCATTCCTGGATTCCCAGCAAAGGGAATGCAGACTGTGACAGAATCACACTGAGTCACACAGTGAGGTCACACAGTGAAACCCTGTCTCCAAGAAAACAATCCAAGGGAGGAGTGTGCAAGGGAGAAGTGAAATGGGGCACTGTACAAGCATCTTCAGGTTGAGGTGTGTGCACACCTGCAGGTCAGCTTCTGGACCACTTGACATGCTGAGCCAGGCCTAGGCCCCAAGGAAGTCAAACCATTCACCCTGTGTAGCCAGGATGCCTTCCTTTATCATGGAGTTAGCTCTTTCCTTTCTAGGTCTGAAGGACATCGGGTGCTCAGGTGGCCAAATCCATGTTCATATTTGACACGAAAACTGTAACCTTTATGTTGGGATTCCTCTGCACATTGTCCTTGATTGCCATTCATACATCTGTGCTACAAACAGCTGCTGGTGTGTGCTGGTTTTCAGAGCTTGCCACTATCTGTTGGCAGGAGCAGGCTCATAGAAGAGATATGCACACTTTGAGGAAGGGCACTAGGAAGTGGGGTTTCCTGTAGATATGACCAGGGACTTCATGGGCACATGAGAAGAGGGTACTATCCAATCCCGACCTAGGCTGGTGTGGGGGAATAGGGGCAATATGAGCTTAGAAGTAGTTTTATTTGAGTCAAGATTCGTAATTTTAGAGTTTTAAAGGTTTTAAGTAAATGGAAGACAGAGGCTTTGGGGACTTACACCCCAACAGTCAAGAACTACCCCAAAGATTTTCTTTCTGGCCTTCTCTAGCTACACTCATTACTGGCATGGGAAGACGGCTGTTTTCATTTTTTCCTATTCCTTTGTTTTATTTTTAAGTTAGGGTTTTACTGTACCCGGGTTGATCCCCAACTTTCAACCCTTCTACCTCTGTGCCTTAGAGTAACAATGTGAAGGAGTGTGCCACCACATCTCTCTACTAGAGGTTTTCTGCCACCCAGTGAATCTTTTTTTCACTGAGGAACCATCAACTTTGACAAGGCACTTCTGAGCACAAGGAACAAGAGAGAGACATGGTCTGGAAGGTCAAGGTTGGGCTGGATCCATGACAAGTTCACTTGACTCATTCTGAATTTCAGCAGGAGGGAGGTATCAGTAAGTATACATAGGATTCTAGAGAGGCTGGTCCATGCTGACCTGAAGGGGGCACTCCCGTGGGGGCTCAGATCACATCTCCTATCCCTATCCTCTGCTACCCCTTGTGATCACAGACTACAACTAGAAGGACAAGGGATTCCCACAGCCCTGGAATCCTCCAGCAAGTCCTTGGGAGGCTGTGTAGTGGGAGCCCCAGGCTGCCCCAGGCAGGAACCTGAGAGTGGATTGGATAAAGGTCACATAGCCTCTTCTAGAGCCCATTCTATATAAAATCGCAGAAGTCATTTATGTTTGTGGCACAAACAGGAAAAAAGCTGCACCACCTTGAAACCTTGAGATTTAGAAATCTCGATCACACCCAACCTGGTGACAAACAGCTCTAAAAAATGTCACTAAAAATGAAAATCACACACATAAAAAAAAAAACAAAAAAAAAAAAAAAAAAAAAAAAAAAAAAAACAAAAAAAAAACAAAAAAAAAACAAAATGAAACATGCCCCACACATAGTCAAATAATTAGGGCCAGTAGGTTTTTATTGAACTGTATACATCTGACTATAATGTTTAAGAGAGTGCTTAAAAAACAAAGTCATAGCTGGGCGATGGTGGTGCCCACCTTTAGTCCCAGCACTTGGGAGGCAGAGGCAGGTGAATCTCTGTGAGTTCACGAGCAGTCTGCTTGGCAGAGTGAGTTCTAGGACAGTCAGGGCTATACAGAAAAACCCTGTATCAAAAAACAAAAACGAAAAACATAAAATCAGACTTCTAGATAATGAACAAATTAGCCCAAAGGAAAAGGTTACAAACAACAATAAAAAAAGCTTTGGAAAATCAAAACTTATAGACCATGGCCTTCATATTAAGACTCTGTCATTACAAGAGTGAATACATCCTTAAGAAGCAAAGCGTATGCTATGCTTGCAGCCTGCTTACCACTAATGAGAAACTGGTGAGTCTGTGCAGGAACGACACATGCGTGCTCACACTGAGATCATGTGTCTACATGAATAGTGTGTGACGACATTAAGTAGAGGATAAATAACTTTAATAAACTCCCCCATTTTGAAGGGAGGAATAGAACTCAAGCTGTTTCTAAGTTTGGACACAACATCTTTCCCCCTGTTTTCTGCACCTTCGTGTAATTCCCATTTGATTTGCATTTAACCTAGTTATCTCGTGTTTGCATGCTTTGCAAACTGAATTACAGAACCAAATTGCCTATTACAATTTCCCATTATGTGACACAATTACATAGAAACACTGTGAGGTGAGAGATTGTACCAGTATTGGGAAGCGCTGATTGCATCATGCTTGTGAAGAGCACATATTAAGGCAAAGCCCTTCCCCCAGGTGACAGGCTTTTGGGCTCTTTCTCCAATGTAAATACTACTCACTATTCCAAGGAAAGCTATTCACTGCTATTTATCCTGAAAAATTACAACCATAGGTATTTTTTTAAGTTAGCACCCAAACGACCCCGTCTCCTAAACATGAAGCCCCACTCTTCCTCACAAGCACTTTCAAATGAAACACAGAGTTAGTGATGTCCCAGGATCCCACTGGGTACACATGAAGTAAAGCACAATGGCTTTTCAAGTTATGCAAGCATGTGCAGTACATTCTCCAGGTCTTGCTCACACTGGTGCCCCCACAAGCAAGTGACGCACAAACTTACTGGCTCAGCTTTCCCTCAAGTCCTCAACCTCAACAGAAGTACACAGGCAGGAGTACACACACACAGATGCACAGACACACACACATACACAGATGCACACACACACACACACAAACACACACACATACAGATGCACATACTCACACACACATACACAGACCCACACATACTCACACTCACAGACACAGACCCATACACACTCATACACACATTCACACACAGACACAGACCCGCACACACACACACACATTCACACACAGAGAGATACAAGCATGCGCATACACAGATGCACAGACACACTCACACAAACATACACAGACACACACATATACACAGACCCCCACACGTACCTACATGCACAGACACACACACACTCTTTTACACATACTCAGACACACACTCTCAGACATATAGACACACACACACACACACACACAGACACAGAAACACAGACACACACACTCATACACACATACACACACTCTCATAGATACACACACAAACACAGACCCAGAGACACAGACACACTCACACACACACATACACAGACAGACACACGTTCTGATAGACACACACACAGACACACATCCTCATAGACACACCACAGACACATACTCTCTCTCACAGACAGACAGACAGACAGACAGACAGACAGACACACACACACACACACACACACACACACACACTGCCTGTCCCTTCATAAGTCTTTAATCAGAAAGGAAGAAAGAGCATGCAGGGAAGGACAGGGAACACAGTCGACTTGCTTTCTCACTGAGATGGGAGTTGGACTTACTATGTCCTTGGCTTCTGTCTGCTGCATGCAGTACAGCGATGGGAGGAAGAGGCTGCCCAGGTAAAGGGTGCCCCAGCCACCTCCTAGGTAGGGAGAGGTCACCACGCCTCCCAAATGGGCACGGGAAATGAAGCCAATAAAGAGCAGATTGGCCAAGGCTGAGTTGAAAGAATCTGCAAATGAACTGTCAGTTTACAAAACAAAAGACACAATGTTTCAATCATTATCACTCCACCTTGCAGGCTCAGGCAGCCAGGATCTCCCAGTGCCCACTCTCGCAAGAGGCTTGTCACATAATGACAACCTCATCCTGGCGCTGTAGTAAAACACACCTTTTGGCCTCCTGATGCTTTGTGATGTTACAATAGCACGTAATTAACAAAACTTTTCTCTGCTAGTGAAAAGAAAAAAATAGAAGATAATTATGATGAAAAGATTATACTGAATCAGTTTATTTAATTCTCTTGCACATATGGAGAATATAAAAGTAAATTTATTCACAAATGCAGCTAAAGGGTGAAATCCTTATACTAATCATTATTTCTATGTATAGAATGGAGAGCAGTAATATAACCAATGTCTATAAAGTGGAAATATTTGCTTTATAATGCAGTTGATATTTTACATTTTCTTGAAGCTAATTGGAACTGTTTTTTTCCCCTTAATTCCCAAGAAATTAAAGATAAGATTGGACAACAACAGAAAATTAAATATTGTGGCTGAGAAAATAATGGATAATCAGGAAATCTAAGTCCAGCAAATTCTCACACTTTAACAGAAAGATTTTCAGTTCCTGAGAAAGAAACAAATCTGACTACTGGAAAGACCTTCAGGGTGGGAAACTGTGCTGAGAAAGGTCTCAAAATTTTTCACCATTGCTCTCTGCTTGGACATAGCCAGTTAGTGTTGCTCACATCTCAATAGACTTGTAAATGCCAAAATAACAGCGCCTCACCCGAGGAATCCTTCTGACTTAGGTGGCTATCCTGTCTTCAATGCTGGCTGGACTGGAGAATTCCCAGAATGCTCTTGGACATTGGAGTACTTCCTGCAGATGGGAGGAGGTGGTCTGCCTGGGAGAAGCAAGTCACCTGGGTCACATGGCACTTGACCTTCAAGACTAAACGAGAAGGAACGCCTGGTAGGATGGGTGCTGTTTTTACGAAGTCCAGGAGGTCAAGCAATGAGCCATTGGGGTGAATCACCGAACAGAACACTAAAGGGAGACTTTTGTTCCAATCATGAGTTTAGAGGAGAGTCTTAAAATGGTAAGGACAAGTAAATATGGGGCAAGAAGCATAACCGAGCCAAGAAATGCTGGAGCAGATGACAACTGAACAGTAGAAACCAGGCAGAGGCCAGCCCTACAGGGCCAGGGAGGAAAGAAACAGCAGACTGGAGAAAACAATAAAAAGGGAGAAAAAGAAATATGGAGATGGGGAGGATGAAATGGAAAATAAAAACTCAAGGAAAAGGATACCATGTCTCCTTTTCAAAAAATTTTATTTTATGTGTGTGAGTGTTGTGTTTGCATGTTTGTCTGTACAGCGTGAGTGTTGTATTTGCATGTTTGTCTGCGCAGCATGTGTGTGTGTGTGTGTGTGTGTGTGTGTGTGTGTGTGTGTGT